GTTGCAGCATCCTGGGGTCACATGATCACCATTTGCAACCTTCCCAGGGGGCTTCTGACAAGAAAAATCAATGGGGGAAGCCAGATTTGCTTAACGACTGCAGTGATTTGCTTAACAACCATGGCAAAAAGGTCATAAAATTGGGCACAACTCACTTAACTGTGTCGCTTAGCAACCAAAGTTCCGGTCCCAATTGTGGTCATAAATCAAGGACTATCTGTATTTCTTTAGGTTCACACTGAGCAATGATTTGTACAAGCTGATGCAGCTTGTGATCTACCAAATTCACAGTCCACCAGAGCCACTTCTAATGGCTTACAAAGGCTTAAATAACCCAATTTAGCCATCTTTTGTTCTCAGGTGACTAACCGAAATTAATGTGTTGCCAAAAAAGGGAACTCAGATTTATTTTTTTTCTAGTTCTATATGTATATGTATAAATATGTAACTAGTTCTATTCTAATTCTAGTTCTGTATGTATAAATTTAAACTTAGAAATAGTTAAGTTGTGGGTCCGCTCAATCAGCTGCCCATGTGCTAATTGTTGATGGCAACTCCAAAGCTCATAATTTCAAGTCTCTATTATTTTTTATCTTTAAGACACATTTAAACTGGGAGACTGAAATAGAGAAATCTCCTCTGAAAAATAGGATCTGATAAGTTATGAAACATATATGCCTTCAATTACTGCTCCTTCAGCCCTAAGTCTCAACATTTTATACACTATTTTTAGCTCTCTTTATCTATATCCAGATCAGATACTAGTATTAACAGTAGCATTAATAACTTCCACAAAAATCTACATTCTGCAAGGAAAACTACGCCCAAAGCATGCCATAACGTGCAAATGTAATTAAGATCTTGATGTACTTTTGAGTAACTTGGCCCATTCTCCAGACTCATGGGTTTAAATGGCAAGAACTCTGATAATTCATACAATTCAGGAGAATACATAAGCTAGAGCTATGCTATCCTCTAATTTTAATATTTGCTAAAAATAATAAGACATAATGAAACAAAACAAAGAAGTACCTAAACCACTGTGCACTACCAAACATTCATTTCATTCTGAAGCTGCCTGCCATCCTTTTGTTCCTCTAAACCAGAGAAGTGGATCTGTTCTAGGGCCAATTCCTAACCCAACATCTGGTCTAATAGATCAGGTGATGTCCCAGATAGGAATTAACCAACAAAATATTGACATTATCCATTTCTCTCAACAGGGCCAAACAGGGACCATCCTGGCAGAAGTAAAATCTGCATCTGCTACCTTCAGTTATGTCTTCCCTTTTTCACAAAAAAAGAAGAGATGCAAGTGAAACAGAGTGGGACAGTGACAATGGGAGGGATGGAGCTTTGGAGGAGCTCCGCTGCTGAGGTTCTGCAGGCCAAACAGCCCACCTGGCAAGCTGGGTTAGATCCATGGACTAGGAAGTTCCCCATTCTGGTCCTAGATGTTGTTTGGTTCTCACAACATTTGTGTTCCAGGACATCAAAACCAAGAAATTTAATTTGCATTTTATTAAAACAGTTGCAAATTAGTTATGTTTTCTCACCCTCTCAAGTACTAAAGTTACTATACTGGAATGTGTTCATGTCCTGAAACCTGCCACTTTAAAGCTTCCACTTCTGCCCTCAATAACCGTTAACTGGGATATTTTACTGTGAACTAAAATTGTAAGTTTTTCTTTCCCCAACTCTCAAGTCTACAAAGGCTTAACAAATATTGGTGGCCTTTCTCACACTTACCTTATCTATTGCTCACACTTTCTTCTGTATTCCTCCAATGAGAGCTCAGCCCTTGAAGAATGTAGCCTTCATCACTGGCTCTACCACTAAATACACCAGGGGATAAACCATGCTCCACTGGAGCTCTCCAATCAAGGTCAAACCTGATTGGCATGCAAATTTTGGTGGACCAAAGACTCCAGTTTTGGGAAACCTTTCTTCAGTAGCCTTATTTCTATCTCAGTGAAAAATGGCAGGAGTGGTCAGGAGTGTTTAAACAACAATTGGGTAGGTAGGAGCCACCAGTTTCCCAGAGTCACCCAGCTACTTTTTTCCAGAAGGCCCAGGGCAGGATTCAGTAAATGTAGCCCTATTAGAACAATAGGATTGCTACTGACTGCCAATGGCTTAGAATGATGCTGGACCAAATATATAGTTCTGATCTCTTTACCTTCTATTCACAAATATTCTTATCATTTCACTATTAATTATTAGTTGCTACTCAGATCTTTGCTTTAAACAAAATATTTTGCTTAGTCTAGAGTAGCATTCCCTAACTTGGAGCTTCCAGATGTATTGTATCTCAGGTCTCATAATCCCCAAAGAGAATGGCCAATGACCATGGGAAATGAAGTAAATATGCACAGAGAATCAAGTTAGGGAATGCTACTTACAAAATTGGAGGTGGTAGTGCAGGGTAAAATAGCTCATACTTCACATTATTAAGATTTCAATTTTCAGTTCCTGATTTCTCCACTTGGAAGAGGTCTCAGGTTAGGAAAGCCATCTTCTTTCAGTCAGAAGAAACAGCCCTAAGATGGATGAACCAATGGCCTGGCAGTATGAGATAGGTCCTTATACATCTTCTAAGTAGAGTTCATTTATTCTGTCCAGCAGAAGCAGTCAGTCTGAGGGTTGGTTTGCACCCATTTTATGCTTTCTCCTTGCCTGCTAGACTACAAATCAGTAATTCCAGTGCTTGAACCTGGTGCAAATTATCCCTATTTTAGCTTTTAGATCCAATATCAAGGAGGAAACAATGATATCAAGGAAGCCCAAGTCATCATGATATCTAGACCTAGGTGCAGTCCTAAGGCAAAACAGCCCTTGTCCTCCAGCTCCCTGGTTCAACATCTTATTGCTTGCAGCTGTAAACCACCTCTTCCTGCATGCACTGCTGACATTCCACATAGCAGCACCACTGCACCTGGCAGTGGCAAGAGAAGGTAACAATATGGGTCTGGATATTGTAACCCCGGCCACAGCACATACTGTCACAGTTGGCCTCACGGGAACACGTCCTTCCAGCAGTGCCCACTGAGTACCTGCTAGACCGGCAGAAGCTAGGAGAATCTTCCATATAAACCAGATCAGTGGGGCGGGGAGCAGCAGGACCTTTAGCCAAGCGGCCATGATGCTGGGGGCTCACAAGCTCTGATTGGCCCATGGCATCATTGGTGGCACTGAAGACCTTGACAGCACCATCATAGCGGAGCTTGAGGAGCTTTCCCGTCTCATGGAAAGGGGACAGCTGTTTCCAGCAAGTTCTCACAGCACATGAGCCTGACACACCATGGCACTTGCACGTGGTCTTGAGGCCATTTTTCACAGCCTGTGGAAGAGAAAGAAGAGTTTTAATCATGTTACAGAGTTACCAGTGAGCAGTTGGAAAAAGTTGAAAGAAGAGTTTCAAGGACAATCAGAAAATTTATAAAGCAAGAACATCTATGTCAAGGAGATTTGACCATTCAGGTAGTGCACCCTCAATCAAAGTTACCCTTACTTACTGGGTAACTTTGCTTCAATCATGCTTTCTCAGCCCAACTTGCCTCACAGGACTGCTACTGTATGTATAAACTGAAGAGAGGGCCCTCCCATATATTATCTTGAGCCCCTAGAGGAAAGACACAATGGAAATCTAACAAATAAATAAGCAAACTTATATTCATAAAAGGCAAAGGAAATCTAGTTACATCTTAAAGACTGAGCAATTATTGCAACTTAAGCCTTTGTAGACTACAGCCCACTGTCTCACGTGTACAAAATTGTACCAACCATGTTGTACAAAGGTAACTTCTGCAAAAGTAAGAAATTCACAGTCCTGATTAAATCCAAAACAGTTCAGCAGTTTCATGTTGGAATCTCCTTTTGAAGACATTATCAAAATCTAGAATATGGAATAGATATAAACCTAGACTGTGCCTGAAAATGCCTTTATGGGTCTCAGCACAAGAAGCATTTTATAGGAATGAAACAGCAGGTAAAGAGAGATGATTAACCTATCAAGAGCTGTTAGAACAAGAGCATGGAGAATATAAGATGAAATCAAGAGAACAACTGGCTAGAGGGATTTAGTTTTCAATGGTTTTCATACACACTGTTAAGAGAAAAATTTAAGGTAGATAACAGGACATTTGGAATTGAGCAACAGAAGACAGAATTTGAAGTTGAACTATGTACAAATGATGACTATGTAATTGCCAAAATGTATTAACCCCTGCTGAATTTTGAAATGGAGGATGAACAAGTGAAAGAGTGTATGATAAAATGGGCTAAGAATTTTGGACATAATATATTGTGGGAACAGTGGAAAAACATGTGGTTGAAAGGACTGAAATTCACATTACATTATAATCTAAAAGAGAATTTTTATAAAAGGATGTACCATTGATATGTAACTCCAAAAAAATTATCTAGAATGTATAAAGGGACTTCAAATTTCTGTTGGAAATATGGACAAAATGGAGGGTCATTTTATCATGCTTGGTGGACTTGTAAAAAAGCCAGAAAATTTTGGGTTCAAATACATATACTGAAACAAAGAATTTTAAAGACTGAAACCAGAACTCTTTTTGTTGGGATTAATGGGCAGGCAACTAGAAAAAAGCCATGACGGATTGTTTTTATATATGATCACTGCTGCAAGACAACTATATATGCAAAAATGGAAAGATTCTGAAATACCCACATTGGAGGATTGGTTGGTGAAGATGACGGAACTAGCAGAGATGGCAAAATTAACTTGTTTGATTAGAGAAAGATCAACAACTACATTTATTAGCGACTGGAAACCCCTTATGGATTTTTTGCTGAAAAAAAAAATGAACTGATGATTTATGGATTTGATGATTAGAAAGGGTAGATTATGGAAAGGAAACATTGATGTAACCTTAGAGGGAGAGGGCAAAATATAAATCCACTTATAAGTGCTGTTAAGGAGACCGGAAGCAACTTCTTTATTATTCTTTCTTTCTTTCTTTTTTTTTCTTTTTCCTTTTTCTCCTTTTTTTTTAATATTTCTTTTTCGCTTTAATATTACTTTTCTCCATTTCTCTTATCTAATTCAAAATTTGTATTGTTTTTACTCTGTAGAAAAACTTCTTTAATAAAAATGATATGTCTTTGTGTCTGTGTGTGTGTGTGTGTGTGTGTATATATATGGATGGATGGATGGATGGATGGATGGATGGATGGATGGATGGA